GGATCGCCGCATCATCGACGATCACGCTTCTCGAAGAAGAAACGCACGAGCACTAACACACCTGGTGTAACCGGCAGTGGCGATCCTCGCTGACACAATGAGACACGTACCACCACGGAGTAAAGGGTTGCAAGAAGACGAGAGTCTTCCGGGAAGCGATGAAAGACTCTCGCTCCTTGGTCAGGTGTGCTGTACATCCTGAAGGAACGATCAGTTTTATACGAGGTCAACTTAGTCTACAGCGATCGTGTCAAAGGTCGTGAGACCGTTACTGCTCAAACTCCCGTGCAAAAATATTTAGACTTTATGTTACATTTAGATAATAAATTATATATAAAATTTATATACAAATATATATACAATTATATATAAAATAAATGTAAATACAAGATAAAATAGCAGCATTTTTATTAATTATGTAAAATGCAGGATTTTGTAAAAGTTTCAGCTTCTGCCTCAATAAGTCAAATAAATAAAATCAAGTTATTTTTATTTTACGCGTAAATAAAATCTGATAATTTGAAAATCCTTTGATACGTCAACCGGTAGATTTTATTATTAACCCGAACATAATTTCACCAAAGTCGTGAATCTACAGCTCTTACGAGACAGTGGGTAGTTTTTGTCGATGATGGCCTCGACCCCCTTCGCTTTGTGTCGAAAAACCTCATAGCTGACGTTCCATTCTTGGCGCGGTCCGTACGACGCGACGTTACGACCTTTTGTCACCGCGCGGTCGCTTTTCTCTCGCAAAAGTCTTTGCATAGTGCAAAGCCTCGGTGCCATATACAAACGAAGAATGGAACCTTTTACCCCAGCGTTTTATGTGTGTATATCCGTTCCGAGGCACCTGTTCGATCGGACCGGTCGCCATAAAAGCCCAGCGGCTAAGGTAGCGTTTGCTTCCACACTTTCTTGCTTGCACGAGCATTTCTGCGTGAGTGTGTATACACAGTGCGGTCTGCGAGGGCCGGTACTCGAAAATGGCGCGTGCACCTGTCATGCCGGGCGAAAGGACGTCGTTCAATGGGCCGTCATACATAATTATAGTCATAATGGCGACTAACTACACAACGAGACCACAAGTGTAAATCGTTTAGATTTGAATAACCGCGAGTACAGCGCGAGCTTGCTATCCCATCATTATGACTATAATTTACCGTTAATCCTCTTTAAATATCCAAATTACTATATTAAAAGAACGATGGAAGAAGATTAAACTCTGTTTTCACTGTAATAAGCTATTGCTATTGCGTTAACTTTTACAGGAAAGCCATTACATAATGGCACTGAAAAGTGCCATATTTTGAGGTAAGGAATACAAAAATAATGAAGTATAATAAATTATTCAAGGAAAAGTTGTAAAATTTAAGAAATAGAAACCGTTCTCTAAAGGTTAAATAATATTGAAATAATTAAATAAAACACGTGTTGCTCACATGCATCGTTGAATTTTACTTCTGTAACGTCGATTAAACGCATGTTTGCCTCGCAGGTCGACCCATATATTATCAATGCGACAATGTCAGGAGGGCAAGCGAGATCGCGGCACGATCTCGGGCACCCATATGGGCGAGTCGGCCGAACAAAAAGCTCGATTGGAGCCACCAATTGAATCGGCGGCGCGTATGTTAAAGGCGCGTGGGATTTAATACACGGTGCAGGTAGCCCGGTTAGCCCGGGCGAAATGAATTGAACGTCGCGTTTCCATCGCGCGTGTTTGCTCGCCATATGTTGTTTGCTCCGCTAAAAGAGCTTTGTGTTGGCGTTACACGCCTGTGAATGTATGAATGAACGCAGCACGCAACGGCAAAAGATACTCTCACGCGCGGTCGCGACACGGAACGGTCTCTCGATTCTTTATTGTGTGAAGAAATTGGATAACCTGCCGGATAATCCGCGCGTATTCACGCTGACATGAGTCAACGCGTGTCGATTAGCCTTCGTGAGATACTGAAGGCGAGCTCTGTCATAACCGGAAGACGCGATTAACACGTTGAATACCGTGCGAATTGCGAAGCAGCGTGGATTAACTTCCCTCTAACGCAACTAGATTTCATTATTATTATTATTAATATTATTATTATATTGTAAAGAAAGAACAGCTTTGTTTAAGTATCTAAATAATTAGCTAGATACAGATCTGAATGTAATTTTGTTGAATTATAAAAATAATTATGTAGGATGCTCTCAAGTTAAAATGCCAAAAATTTTTGCTCATTATTTTGATGATACAACAAAATTATTTTCAGATCTGGATCTATCTATCTAAATTTTTACTTCAGCAAAAATCGTTTTTCCTATATATGCACAATTGCAAAAAATACAACTGTTGTAAGAATATATATTTGTTCGGACTGCAAAGAGAATTATGAAACACATAATTTTTCTATTCTAATGATTTATCATAAAGTTCTCGGTATTTTTCTTAAGATATTCATTTCCAGTCCTGATTCGAGAAGCATTTCATATAAACGCTCAGCGATCTGGAAGATTGATAAATCTCGCTTCGATAAATCGATGAAAGGATCTGAAATTCCCTATTCGTCGCATGATTGATCTGGACCACCCAGACAGAGTTGTAGCAATGAATAAATGGCGGCACTTGGAAGATATACAGCGCGCGAACTGTGCGGAAAGGATTCTTTTTACAATCACGAACAATCGTTCTCGGCGGAACGGCAATTGCGCAAACAACAATGAGTACGATTATGGGAATGTGTTGATGAATGCGATATAAATATCGCGGCTTGTCGAAACTGCCGATAGATTTGTTCGTCACATTTGTTGCGGCGCATTTTCTGTCACTTTCATGCGTTATTACGTGTGCAATGAAATACTTGATCTACCGTACGTCTCGAATCGAATCCAATCGATTCGTCTCGAACTGAGTACGAACACCGACAATTACTTTTATCGAGGAGGCCTCTCCCCCGCTCCTGAAATTTTCTGACGAGCGAATGATCGACGCCCAATTGATTGCTCGAAGAGATTATTAAATCTATGCGAGTATTAAAAGATAAAATGTCTGATTATGCGAGTCTTCAAAATATCGTTGTAACAACGAGCCTCATCTTTTTATACGATCTAAATGTATACGCTGTAACGATGATTGATAATCAAAATTCAGTAGTAATGTAAAAGTCTTCGCAACTAATGTCTTATACATGTTCGTAAAAAAATTTGAATGTAGTACGATTTTATTCATGAGAATTCTTGAGGAAAATAGGACACTGAATTATTATGCTAGAGGAAGCATGGTGGGGAAAACAAAAGAGGTAAAGATTAATAGATTTTAGAAAAAAGAAAAAGAGAGAAATTAACACATGATAGAAAGAGGAAGTTTAAAATTTAAAATCCATGTAATTTATTTCGTATAAAATATCTCTATACATAGGCAATATCTGTATTTCGTAGTAGTTTATTTTCTTTACAAAACTAGGAATAGTGGTACTCGTCTGAGCCATTGCTGCTAATTACATGTACGATAAAAGGTAAAAGTATACAACGATGGCTCATTCTAACATCTACCTCTCTCTCTCTATATATCTTTTTCAATAATCATAACGAGTCTTTTGTTCTTCTGCGTATAATACAATGACTAGTTTGTTTAAGAAACTTACGGTGAGAATTTGCGATATGCAAAATACAGAAAATGATAATGCGACCTGTGAAGTCGAGATCTCATCCTTTTTCACGCGTTAAATTGTCTTCTTCTTTTCGATTCAGTTGCCCAATGCAGGCAAATTATAATACTTGTATTGTACGTATTTTACTCGCTAACCATTAAGCTCTAAACTATGTACAATTCGCGTATTAACGCGTGCGAGCGCGCGAATGAGATTCCATCCTGGCGCGACGCGCTTTCGCGAATGGCACTTTGGTGCATCGCAGCGTGATAACTTTTGTGAAATTTTATTTTCCAAATTCACGTCGATCATACCTGAAATGCATCCTATTTTCGAAAATATTTAACTTGATTAAATATTCTCATAAAGTTCCGCTTTTCTCGTTTTATTTCAGTAATTAATATAAATAAGTTTCGATCGAATCACGAATATAAATAACGCTCGGATGCGCTCGCACGCCGACAAAAGAAACGAAATATAACTCAGAAAAAAAAAGAAAATGTGCAAATCGTCCTATTTTTCGATTTTTTCGTTTTATGATCGCGTTTTAGTGCTCGAGTGCATTAGAACAAATGTAAAAAAATGGCACAGCAGTTTCACGGGACCGCATCACGCGGTAATCGAGCAGTTTTTTTGTATTTGATATTTCTCACGTGCTCGGAGCGACGTGACCGATCTCTCGGAAGGACGAAATAATCTCTAAGTACTATTATATCGCACACATACAAAATGAATCACAAAACTATTTATCTCTTAATTGCAGACCTCGAACGACTGATATTCTTTCTGGATGGCATCTTTTATGGAATATATATCTGTTTGTATATTTTAAAAAATAGTAATAGGTAGGTTACATGTTTTTAAATGTAATAAATAGATAAAAATTTATAGTTTCTTCTACAAATAAAATTTGAAATTAACTAAAATTCAGCAATTAAAAGAGAAATATTTTGTATCATTGTATGTACACTCGTACATCGATATTTACAGCGAAGGATAATAAACAAACAAAACCAACTCTCATGAAACTTTTCGAGATGTTGTCTGACGAGTTAACGTCTTAATAATGCGCGTTCGATTTAATAGAGCAGTATACTTAACGAAAATGTATGCAGTTGTGAACTTTTTTCATCACTGTTATAAAATCAAAATGATAAAATTTAATAACTTCTTATTAAAATCGAAATTAATTTAAAGTTAAAAAAGAATTTTTTTCATCATTTTTCAAATAAAAATACAACTCAGAAAATATTTTATAAACAAAAACTTTAGTTTCTTTGAAGATCACTTTCCTGGAAGGATACAGTTTGATGGCGAAAAGATTAATCGATACTTCGCGAGCGAATCACCAAGATACCGGACTTCACTTACTCGACATTTGTACTGCATTCTAAGGCACTTTGAGACCGCGAAATAAAAACGGGCGACATTTGTCATTGGGTCACAGAAACGCGAAACTTTAGCAAGAATAGCCGACTTGCTGAATGTCTTGCTACACCTGTCGCAGGAGTACTTTTTGACGTCGCTATGGGTCTGCAGGTGAGCCCTGAGGTTGCTCCTATCGGCGAATGCGCGATTGCAGTGTTGACATCGGAATGGCTTCTCGCCGGTATGCGTCCGGATGTGACCCTGAAGCAACCATGGCCTGGAGAATGCTTTGCCACATGTATGGCACTTGCAGGGCAGCGTGTGCGTTCGAATGTGCATTTTCAGTGCGCCCAAACTAACATATACCTTCGAGCAGAATTTGCACGAGAAGGACCTCTTTGCCTGGCCTTGAGCAGCCGCGCAGTGAAACTGCTGGTGCTTCGACAAGCCGGAAAATGTCGAGTACGATTTGTTGCAATGTTTGCATGGATATCTGGACGACGTCGAGCTCGAGGAAGTATTTGCATTGGTGCTCGGACTGCCTTTCTCTATTTTCGTGTTCACGATCGTGCTGCTTCCAGCGGATGTGCTGCCAGCGGACGACCTGCCGCTCTCACTGCTGGGCGAGGAAAGATCTTCCGGCGTGACGGGAGGCGGAGATCGTAGAGATCCGGAACCCACGGAACTTGTAGGCGACAAACCACAATGATCCGGGCTGCTCCAGTGAGGGTAGCTCCTGGCGATGGGCCGTTGGATCGTCGAGCAAGTCAATGCGCCGTGGGGCGGTGGCGAAACTGACGAATGTTGTTCTGGAGAGGAGTGCGGATACGCCGGTACCGGGTACGACGAATACAATTCCGCTTCAGGATAGCGATGATAGGCAGGAGAAGCGTACGGCAAATAATGCGACGGATACAGTGGACCCGTGCGAGTCCAGGCTGGCGTAGGATAATGAGCCAACGGCTCCATCAAGGGGTTTAGATTCAACGGCTCCAGAGGTGCCTTGCTCGCCATAAAATGCAACGGTGTCGACGTCGCCGTCACACCCGCCGTCGGTGTCGTCGTGGAATTGTCATTATGCTGGATCACTTCAACTCGCGCTGTCTTCACCAGTGGACGATGGGTCGGCGCGATTCCCGCTGGTGGCGTGATAGTCTTGGTCGGATAGTGATGGTGATAGTGATGTAACTGGTGGACGTAGTGCATCGCGTGAGTCTGCGAGGATGGCTCTATCGTCAAAGGTGGAGGAGATGTTTTAAAAATCGGAGGTGGCATCCTGCTGGACGCGCGTTCCTGTGATTCTGGTTGTGATTGCTGTTGTTGCTGTTGTTGCTGTTGTTGATGAGGACTATGATGACGATCCGCGGTTCTACTGAGATCCTCGGGCTTCGTGCTGAGGTTCTCAGGTTCAGGAATATCATCTACTCCTACATCAATTATTTCTTCTGCACAAACAAGAGACACACGTTCACATACACATGCTAAAGGATTTCAAAATATAAAATATAAAGAAAATAAAATAAAAACTTCGAAGTAATAAAGTTTATAAATATTTTTCTGATATTTTAATTTCAATGACTTAACTTAAAAAAAAAATTGATCGTGAATCACATATTTACTTCATTATTGCTATAAGAAATATTCATTACAATAAACTATATCTCGTGTTAATAAACTTTTCCTTTACTTTTTTTCTTCAACTTTTACATTTTACTTTTTTGTTTTCGTATGTTTTTCACATATTTGTTGTGTTTAAATTTTACATAATTATATGTATTTAACTATGTTAATTAAATACATAGATATTATATTAGAATAATAATTTACTAGCAACTTTATTAATAATAACTAAAATATCAAAAATTTACGTTTAAAGTTATATATTTATCTATCTTCTCTGTTTCTATATTCTATATTTTCGTATCTACTTACAATTAGTTTGATGTTTAAAATTGAATAAATCAAAAGCAATACGTAAAGCAAATATATGCTTAAAGACAAAAGAAGCAAATATGAATTTGAATTTTACATGAAAATAATTTCGAAAAGATTTGTGTGGTAATAAAAAAAACAAATTTGAAACCTTTGATTGCTTCGGGAACTTCTTCTTCATCCTCGGATGTGTAATAAAACGGCCGCTTCTTTAACGGGCAATGACTGTAATTGTAATTCTTCTTCATGAAGCTGTGCGGCACCTCGTCGACAAGCATTTTGGCACAGTTTTGATATTGCATAAAGGCACTTAAAACGTTTTTCTGATTTATTGACGCTATGCCACTGCGAAGACGATTATAACATCCTCACTCTTCTCATATGAATATCCGTCATTCAGAGCATTAATCCAATAATCACAGCCTTGCCGAAATCTCGCAAGGCAATAATACGTGGTAATGTCACTGCACTGTTATTTCACACATAAGTCAAGAGCCTTCTCTTTCAAAAGAAGAACCGGCACTTCGATCTTTCTTCAAGGTGTAATAAGATTAATCTTCACCACTCGCTCATCCGAATACAACTGACCGATTGGGAGATACTCGGATAAATCCTGACTCGCGTGAAACACGAAAGAGAAATGCAAGGAATGTTCCAGAATGACCACAGCTCAAAACGTTACGGCTGCAAGCCGGTCTCTGACTGGCAGGGGGTTGTGTCAGGGCCTCTTATAACAGGTCGCCCCACCAATGGATTGCAGGTGGCCCGCACGTGCTGCCGAGCCAATACGGGCCCGCGGGCCCCTCGTTACTTGCCAATGGGGGACGGACGGTCGCGGGCCACCAGCCAATCGACCAGGGATATGTTCCACCAATTGTCCCCCACCGTCGGCAGACAACCGGCGGGAGGTGCAGGATGTTCGTGAGTGCAACGCGATAGTCCGCTACGCTCTACGTCCTTCCTTATTCGTTCCTACCACCGTTTCTTTCTCTCTCTCCTTCTCTCTCACGCTACACGCTCCGCAAGTTTCAATGTGTGTATGTTATGTTATTCTGTAGGAGCAGATGCTGTGACCCCTCTTAGGAGACCCTCTCCACGCTCATACACACATGTATCCAGGGATTCGCGTTCGCGCGCGCGTACGGGTACATTAGACCCCCTCCGCGCGAGAGCTCGGCGACTCGCATTTTTTATTCGAATTTCCGTTCGGCCTACCTGAACTCCTTTCTTTCTCTCGCTCTTTGTGCGAGAGTGGTTGTCGCGTCGGCTGTTTTGTGCCCCTACCTGATACGCGCGTATTGCGTCTCGCGTACGCGAGAGTGTACACGCGTGTGTGTACGTGCGAGCGTTGCAATCCACCTCTTGTTCCCCTTCTGAATTTCACCCCCTCTTCCGCGTCGACCCACGTTGCCAGCCCGAACGTGTAACGGTCGTGTCGCGTGCCACAGCATCGCCCACGCGCGCTCGGAACCTACACACGCGCGTGCGTCTCTGAGCGTGTGCACTGGGGCACGCGTACTCGCGCGAGCACCCTGCCCCCTCCCCCCCCCCATACGCAAGCGGCAGATTCACGTTAGATTGCCTGCCATTTTTGCGCGAATGGAAAAGCACACGGCATTCTATTTGAGAGTCCGTCACGTGATCGCGCGCACAAAAAAAAACCGGTAATGTTCTTCGACTAACAGTCTTCTGTTTGTCTTCGACGTAGATAAAAACTTCTCTGATTTCCTGCATCGATTCACTTTCTTTTTTTTCCCCTTTGTAATCTATACAAAGATAAGATAAAAGTATAGATGTTTTCTTTACACTTGATATTCAAATTCTTTATAGTTATCGTCATAAATTTATACATGACTGTTTTATAACACTTCATAAAAAAAAGTAGTAACGTGTTTTTTTTCTCGATGAGAATAAAGAGGATGTTATCTATAAATAAAAGTATTCGTAATAAGGCCTGTTCTTTTTGACTGAACTTTTGCACCAGTTCATCTTTTTTCCTTTTCTCTCCAGGAGGAAAGAAGAGGAAGAAAGATGAACTGATACAAAAGTTCAGCCAAAAAGAACAGACCTATTGTGAAATACTTCAGATGCGTTAACGCATGATGAAAATTCAATGAGTTTCGTACGGATTCTAAAGCGAAGTGAAATCATAAAACATTTCTTCACAATTATGGGCAAGATTATCATCAGTGAAATGAAATCATTCGTATTAACCGATCATGAAACGATAATCGGAACAAGAGACCGGTATGGCCACGAATCGGCTAGAAAACGAAAGCGAAGCGATTTTTGACACAGAACCCTTGTACTTGTCGTCATAAACAATTCACTCGCATAAAGCTCTATTCTTTTGCTAGTTCGCTAAGCGTGTGTGCGACCAATCATTTTATCGTATTATTTCGTAATGAAGGAGAAACACCGAGACCAAAGCGAGAGAGGAAAAGGCGGAGACGGCGTCGTACGTGCACACTGACAGAATTTCACGATAAAATCTCGGTAACCGATACGCTACGGGCGCGTGTGTTATTAACCGTTTGTCTCGACAGGAGAAACGTCCTCGCTACCGTCGATATACATATATTTACACTCGCTTCGCTTTGCATTACAATATCAATATTGCACGCAATGGCCACGCGCGACGCATTTCACTTCGCTTAACGGCACATTCCAAATGCGGCACGCGCACAGTACGTTGAACTTGAAACGATTTTGCATCCAACTCTACAGTCTGTACATTGATAATAACGGCGATTATGGCATATTGCAATTTTATTACCGTGTAAAAAATGTATGAATTGAAGTCGAGACTCTGAAAATATTGGGTTGAGTAAAAAATAATTTCGTATTTTTAGATTTGAATGTCACCTAAGAATATGAAGTTACTTTTTACTCAACTCAATATTATTCTATGAAATATCAACTAATACCCGTTTCTACCAACGTAGATTAATTAATTTAATTAATCTCGATTTAACTTATTATTTTTAATTAATCTCAGTTTAATTTATTTTTTATTTTTGTCTTATTCTAATGGTAAGAATTAAAAAAAATAAAAGTAAATTAAAAGTCTGTTTTTTATTCTTGCACTCTTTGAACTCGTACACACGATGCAGTAAGTTGAAATGAAACAAATATATATTTGTTTCGCTTCAACTTATTGTATCGAGTGCATCAGTATAGAGAGTGCAGGAATAAAGAACCTCAAGATTAAAGTTAATATACCTTGGCAGAAATGAGCGTAAGACAATTTATCTAACGGTTTTCTAAATTTTTAATATACAAAACGTTCGGAAAGTCTCAAGAATGAATATATCTATCGCAATAAAAATCTTAAAAAACTATAAGTAATCTTACAAAACTTTTATTCCATTAATTATGTGTCAATTAATCAAACACTCGCTATTTAAAGATAAGTCAAGTCATTGTCATCATACATGCCCGACGTATTGACTGAAACGATCTAGTCGGTTGTTGTACGCACTGCGAATTTATACGATCGTTAGTCAAGACAGAATTCGATTCGTTCGCCGATAAGCGGAGCAGCCACGATCCTGAAGGAACTATTTGCTGACAATAGAACAGCGCGAATCACCCGTTGTTGTCTCCTTACCTGCTGCCACGCTTATCTCATCGACACCCACGAATACAACGTCAAGTATACATACGTATATCGAGTGCGTGCCGATGCACTACCGCCGATCAAAGGGAATGCAATAAATGTGCACGCTCGATGCACTGACTTCGACCTCGGGCGGATCGTGATCCCAGTTAATTTCAAGACCGTATCGTGCCATTCAATACCTTTCGCTTATATCATGAAAATGAAAAACGGTAATTTCTAGGATTTAATTAAACTCTCGCCTCAGATAAATAATTGTCTGCCACAATTCATTAAGAAAGATTTACAGCTTTGAATAAAGATAATATTCTTAACTGATATTTAATTTATTATTACAAGGCTTAATGAAAATATAACACCTATACGTCTAAAGCACATTTCCCTCACTGTTCCTTGACCCGTGATCCCGAGGACAGATGAATTTAATTTACAATCTGCGGCCGTCCTACCGTCATGGCCTACCTGCCGTTTCCGATGCATCGCATTAAATTAAAAGCCACAATCTTCTCTCTTGTTGTCACGCAAATATACGCGAAGGGGTCGATCGACGTTTTCTTCTCATGGCGGTTTACGAGGAAACGTGCACCCTACGGTTGCCTCCGTCTCAACACATCTCGAAAACTCAAAACAGAAAAAGAGAACGAGAGAAAGAGATACCGAGAATGAATCGTGCACCGGTCGTCGACGAATCATCTACCTGCACATAAAGACGCCCTTCCACGCGGTTATCTGTCTCTCTGCAGACAACCCTTTCTCGTCGTTCTAGATCAACGAGAGTAAGAAGGAAAAAAAGCAAGAGAGGATCGAGAGAACCTGCATTTTATCCGGTTATTCCGGTAGCTACCGGCGGCGGTTCCGGCAAAGAATTCCGCTTCTTTCTTCCTACCTTCGTTACGTGGCGGATAAATTATACGGAATACTGGGCGCGCTAAGTTACCCCGCTTTTGTTTGTCGACGTAGTATGTCTCGTGCGTGTGAATCCCGACGAGGGAACAACCCGGCGCCCTTCACGCCGATACCACGGATAATCGCGCGTTCGCGCAGGTTGCTGCGAAAAGATTCTTTATGCGCGTAGATAGAAGCAGGTCCCATTGGCACTGCGCCCGCCGCGTTCGTCGGTTATGTTGTTGCGCCGCAATGGCGAACCATTTCCGCCCTACTGCGAAAAAAATTACAAATACAGTTACGAAAAGGCAGGTTGAGATCGGCAGCAGCGGATTTTATTAATCATTTTAATACGGTATGATTTTTTACACTGAGAAAAAAGTCGAAATATTCGCAAGCAAATGTTGCACGTGTTTTCTTCGATATTTATTAGTTATAAAAAAATTTGACTGTAAAAATTTTTGTGTGATGACGAAATATACATTTCTATGACATACATCTCATTAATTGTAAAAACATAAAATGGATAATTTAATTTGTTGGAATAACATTTAGTTTCACCGTAATTACATAAGGATTTGTTTCAGTGAAATAAACATTATATCTCACGAATAAATTTTTAATATCTTTTTCTCAGTGTAAATTTTTATGTGATTTTTTTTTACTTTTAACCATTTTCCGGAACTAAGAAATTTGATGTCGATCCAAACTCCAATCTTTTACTGCCTCCTTCCGTTTGTAATGTAATACAATCGATCAGTGGATAACCGCAATTGTGAACAAAATTTGTAGGGGAGAATTAACGCTTACTTCGAAGATAGATACATCTTAGCCAAGTGTATACTTATAGACGACCGTTTATGGTCGGGTTCCTCGTACGATTCTTGTTTTCCCGCTCAAAGTGGTAAATTACACGTTACAGCCGAGGAAATGAAAGGTGTGACTCTTCGACCCTTGGTGGAGATACCCGATGCGCGACGTTACGATTCCCCGGAACTCTTAACCAGTTCACGCGCGCATGCTGTTAACCCGTTGCGATCCGGGCCCGTTCGAATAAATCTGTATAATTATTAC